AAAAAATGGCATTATAATATGTTTAAATTGCTGTTAGATTTCTAAGGGTGTACAAGTCCCATTATCCCCAAAAGGTTTGAGGGCAGGTCAAAGTTAACAAAGGTTTAAGACCGCGACAGGGGAGGAGGGGAAATGGGAATAATGTTGTAATTAATTAATACATTACAAGAAGAAGCAGACCTTCAGCCCAGAGGGGCAAAGCCAATTTGCAGGAACCAATCGGCATGGAGAGCTGGTGCTGAAGCCTCGCTATCTCCGGCTCGTACCACCACCAATCTCGCTCATGTTTCACCAGATCATCGCATCGAAACAGCTCCGACATCGGCCTGCATGAGCTCAACAACACCACTTTTGTTCGAATTCCGCCATCTCCCTTTCCTTTCTTCACTGCTAAGTTAGCTGCTACCAGATGAACTTGAAGACGGAACACATCCCTCGCCCACCGGCACGGCAGCTTGGCAACCACCATGTCCATCTCGCCATACGCCATAAAATCCGGCATGGGTATCTCTGGGCATAATGGACCCTCGTTCTCTTCCTCCTCATCAATCCACTCAGGGAATAAATCCTTCCACTCCATGTATCGTGAGACCCGCTCGAAGTTTATCCTTATAGTCTTCCCAATGGATTCCCACTCGCTTGTATCCTCGTCCTCCATGTTCACCATTCCAATCTTCATCCCCCTCCCCATCTCACTGAAAAAACTAGGCCTCTCTCTTCTCACCATTCTCCTCTTCTGTTGCGGCAGCGTCTCCTCCAACTCGGCCTTCTCTTCAACCTACAGGAATTCGAATTCAAAGAAACAAATGGTTATCGATCATCGCTTTTTCGATTTAAGTAACCATCTGTATGTATTAATTACTGCTTAATTTGCCTACTCACCTTACCTTCTTCTGATGACACTCGCGCAATGAGCACCGAACTAGTGATGCTGGGTTGTCGACATAATTATAGTATGAAGAAGAAGAAGAAGAAGAAGATGGTCTGAGAAGAAGAAGAATGGCATAAATGATGAAGAAGAAAGCAAGGAAAACCAGGTTGATTCTTATGATTAGAGCTTTTGAAGTAGCAGCCTTCTTCTTCATCTCGAAGACCTCAAGCACAAGTTCGTCAACCGCCTTGGCTAAGGGTGGCAATGCCCAATATCTCTCTCCTAGTTGTTCTAAAATTGAAATTTTGTTATTTATTAATTATTATTCTCGACGTAGTTGTTAATTTACTGGTTTCTTCATTTCCTTCCCCTGAAGACAAAATGGTTGTAAAGATGCGTTTTGACATGTTTTCAACATTATTAATTTTTTATGGGGTTTTAAATGTCTTATAAACCCTTTTTGCCTCCAATAATTACAAAAGGGAAAATTTCACCCGTTAAAATTTATTCCTGGTAGTAATTCTTTGGATTCACTCCAAAGAATCATGTTTGGACACGAATATGAAGTGTTTCTCATTCGAAACCGGATGAGAAATCGGTTCCGGAGGCAAGGATTCTAGGAAGTGGAAAAAAAAACACTTCCCAAAATCGTAATTCTCAACGGTAAGTTAAAACTAACGAACACATGTGTCCATGTTCCACATGAGCACTCTCATGATCTCATGATCGTATATTCTTCTCCAACTTGAAGCTCCAACGGTTCTTGAACGACCCTCTGCTTCTCCATCTCAAAAGCTCTTTACAACCTAGAGTTTCTCAAGTAAATCCCATCGTTCAAGAATACCACTGCTCTGGTTCTCCAAAGCCACCCCTCAACGCTACTACCAAACTGAATCATTTACTGATTACTTGCAAATCAGTTGACTCGATCAATTGAGTTAAATAATCTTGATCTCTTCTGTGATGCAAATCAGGTAGCCAATTGGCAGAGCTCTGGCATGGAGGAATGACTGTAAGAGTTGATGGTATTATATTCCTTTTTTTATTATTTATAATAGGATCGTGGGAGACTGGATCTGCTCCTCACACCTGGCGCCTTATAGGCAAGGCGCCTCACACACACATCATGGGAAATGTTCCCAATGCATGGCGGATGTACCTGCAAGGCGTCCATTTGTGAGGAGAAGATCCCGTCACGCATTGTTATAATGGATACACTAAGGACATAATCAACGCGCAACACAACACCTGCCCCATCTATGCAATAACCAATTAGAACACTTGTTGGTCACTTGTGGAAAACTACATCTAGGCAGTAGGCACCCATTGACGTGGTTTTGTCTATTAGTCATATTAGAGAATTGATTCCAAGCAATTGGTTTCTGCCAAACGTGATTTTGTTTCTGGAAAACAAGAATCGGATGATTGTGCCAAATACTTCTGGCGATTCTCTAGAGAAAACTTTTCAGAATCCATTATTTTTTTGAAAGGATTCGGAGAATGATTATCTCCGGAATTGATGCTTAACAGGGCCTTTTTTTTTCCTTTCTTTTCATTTTTCTATATCACTGTTGGCCAATAAGACCAATAAATTTATAAACCAAATTAAACCCTGTTGGATAGTTCTGTCAATGGGTCGCATTTGGTTCCAGACAAGGTGTACCAGTCTTGAACCAATTATTAATCTAGACAAGGTTTACCGGTCTTGAACCAATTATTAATCGGAACAAAATCATAAACCCAATACTCTTCCAATTATTAATCAATATAATTGGGTCTAACCCAATTAGACCCGTTTATATTGGCATCTATAATTATTTATGTTAATTACAATTTAAAACTTCATTTTGATAATGTAATTTTAATAAAAGTAACAGTGAAATAGTAAATTGTTTATATGTTAATAAACCAAGTATTTTTAATCAAATTTATCGTATATATTATCTATCAAAATTACCCTTATGGACATAAAATGCAAAAATACAAAAACAAACTAGGAAACGTTTATATATTATTAACTCAATAATCAGTACAACAAAAACCAATCCCAACCCAATTATTATCGAGACAAAACCAAAAATCCAAAATTGATAAAATTGGTTTGATCAGTCTGGTTCGGTTGGATATAACCAACCCATTGACAGCCCTGCTGCCAGATAGTGGCCTGGCTAAGAAAACAGATTGGCCTAACCACTACAGACAGATGTCACTAGAAGTACTCCTCATGAACCCGGTTAGATTAAATCTTGTTCAACCCCTCATTGGACCAGACTCCTAATACATCGATATCAGGGATGCTGGTTTCTGGTTTGAATAAAGATGTCAATGAAAACCAAAGCCATCTGTTTGGAAAACAGAAAATATTTTCAGTAGAACTAAACCTTTACTAATGAAGGAGAAAGTGATGTAACACACAAGTAAAGAGGCATTGGGCTGTTGTAATTCTCGACAGAAACAAGGGTAGAGTGGTAATCTCGTATTCATTTCTTGATTTGAAAATTGAAAACCTTTTACATGATGAATCCAATTATGTGAATATGTCCAGATCTGTAAGCCCTCCAACAACCAAGTTGGTTGCAGCGTCCATTTCTTTCCCCCTCTCCGGCACTGCATGTCCCTGTTATGCGTTACGAAACTCTACAATTAAAATATTAATAATAAATAAATCGACAAGAAAATGAAAAGAGAAAAAAAAAAACATTTCTTCACTTTTTATTTATTTTTGCTAGAGGATCTTAGGTTTAATATCACACCCTACCAAATTGATTTTGAATCTACTACATATAAGTTGGACCCCTATAATCCCTAGGGTGGAGTTAAGATTTCTAGGGGTAGACTGTCCTGTTAATTGAAAAATAATAGATGTAGAGTTGTAGACGACGGAGGAGAAGACGACACTCTATTCCTCTACTCTTCTCTGCGAATTCTAGACGAGCAGCTAGACATGTTACAGAAAGGAGCCTTTTATTGAAAATTTTAAGTTAAAATGCCACTTCGTCGAAGTATCAAATTGTGGATTCAAACTAACATGGAACCCATATTATAAAACCCGTGTTCCGTGTGAATATATTCCACCATTTCAACTTAATATTGAAAGGCCCTAAATCAAGCAAAACCATAAGAACCCAAAGAAAAGGGAAGGGCAAGAGAGGGAAAACCTTTGGATCCCTATATTATAATGCTCAAGAACAAAATTAAACAAGAGTTTGAATGTAAATGCGTGGGTTATTTGGCACGTCACACATTGCTATTCAGATGATTTGATGCATGGTCCTTGACTAAATGGTTGGAAAATTCTACGTGTTGAAGAGTCGAGTGAGATGAAAATCAGCTAATCCTGTCTAAGATCTACGCATTTAACTATATCCCATTTCTCAACTGATCATGTTACTCGTTTTCCTCCCGCGCTGCTAACTTCATTATTCCGGGGGGCTTCACCGCTTCACAACCAAAAAGACAGCAAAATCAAATAGTATGCAACGTGATAGGGCTAAAAGTTCTCACCTATCAAAATGGAAGTAAGCTTTGATTTATTATACCAACACAGCAATGAAGATTGAAGCAAAACTAACTGATTCATTTTTTACCGGAAAAAAAATAAAAAAAGAGGATGTTTTGATATATAGTGTGTGATTGCTTAAACAGAATTGCTCAGCATTAATAGCTACAATTTTCATAGACCAAATGTACATTGAATGGTACAAACCAGTCTCCCTAAAACAGAGTTCGGTTTTGACACTTCACTGACCTCTTTTGGTGAATATTTTATCTGGCAATTCCAATCTTCTGCGGAATTTTTTAGCTCCTCTAGTTAGCAATCTGGATGCAAGAAATACATTTAGTTAACTTGCATGCTTTAGGTAAAATGCGGAAAGGAATCTACACATCTGGGTATCTTACATCTACTGGCTTAGTCAGAAGCCAGAAGGCTCCATGTTTTTCCAAAGTACCATTCCACTAGGTCCCTAGTCCATATCAAAAGAAAGTTCTAGTATTATTTTTCAATCTCAACTACAACTTTTGAAACTTGACTAGTTAGTTTTACTAGAACACATGTGATTGTGCATAGAGCTGACATGGAGTGGGCATTGCAACATGACCAATATAGAGGGTCACCCCATCTAATGGTTGATCTATGCACCTCTATGTCATCCCTAAATATGGCAGAAGAAGTGGAGATATATTAGGACTCTAGGTCTAGTTGGTGTTTGTCCATGTATGTCTGTGTGCTTGTGTGCAAGAGAGAGAGAGAAAGAGAGAGAGAGAGAGAGAGAGAGAGAGAGAGAAAGAGAAAGAGAAAGAGAAAGAGAAAGAGAGAGAGAGAGAATGATGATTTTATTTAGTAGTATCAAACTATCAATGGTTGACCTGCTTTCACAAGGAACCCTAAACACCCAATGCACTTGCTTGCCTCTAAATCATTTCACATGGCCAATATAAGTCTGGCTTGTGTGTCCAACATATCATGCTGCTGCCACTTCCTGGATGTGTTGAGAGTAGCTTTTACCAGGGGGAATGAAGATCAAATCATCCCATCCCGAATTCTTATCACTCATCTGCATTGCATGAGAAAAAACCTAATTTAAATCACCAGCTTCAAATAACATGTAACCAATCAACCAAACAGAACAGAACCATCTAACCTCCATCTTCTTCAGAACATCTTCCAAACTCCCCACCTGTAGAAGTAATAAATACTTGTCCACTTAAACTCACAAGCTATGAACTTGAAGCTAGCAAATATTTACATTAAAGATCCAGAAGCCTTGTGAAAAGGATCTCTTGTAACTTTTTAGAACATCTAAAAAGTAGTAGAAACTCCTAGATATCTTGCAAAGAACGTGTTTTTTCTTTTTTAATTATCCTCAGAAATATGGCTAGAGACCCCACCTGTAGAAGTAATAAATACTCGCAAGCTATGAACTTGAAGGTAGCAAATATTTACATTAAAGATCCAGAAGCCTTGTAAGAAAGGCCTCTCTCTTGTAACTTTTTAGAACATCAAAAAAGTAGTAGAAACTCCTAGATATCTTGCAAAGAACGTGTTTTTTATTTTTTAATTATTCTCAAAAATATGGCTAGAGCTCTATAGAGTTCATCATTTTCATATCTGTTCTTTTCTTTCCTTTTTCTTTAGCATTCCAAAGGTTTTACTAACAGAAACAGAGCCATAAAAATCTGACAACATAGTTGAAGTGAAAACTTTTTTACCATAATGTGTTGAGAAATGCCTGATCCTCTTGATGTTCTTGAGACCTTTGAGAGTTCCCTTTCTATATCTTCCTGTATGACCAAGAGAGACCAATGAGCAAAAAGGATCCCAGCATCTTGTAAAATGTCATGTTCCTAACAATAAAATAGTTAAGAACAATACAAGATCAACCAAGTCAACAAACCTTTTGAAAATATATTGGGCAGTAACGTTTGTTCTTCTTCTTCACAACCAAAAGGTTTGACTGTGGATAAAAATAACTAATCAGACTGCATCACTAAAACATGGACAAGAAACAGGATAGAATAAATGACAACAAAAAAATACAGAGACACCATTAGATGGCAGAGGCACAAGGAGCAGATTTGAAAATACAGAGATCAATGAAGAAAGCTTACTAAGCAAGCACTCAATCTTTCCGCTCATTGAGATAATGGATACTATGACCTCATCTGAATAGATTTTAGATACAATTTCTGACTTATAAAGCTATGCACACAATACCACCCAATTAGTCATGCCTAGACGGCTCCCAGGTCAAACTCAATGGAATTGGATGATAGGGATGGCCAATTGACTCTTTGTATAGTTTATTCTTTCTTTTCAGACAAAAATTGATAGATAGATGCTAATAAATTGAAACTTTTATCCTGCATGGAAAGGGTGGGACCCATTCAGTGCCTTGTCAAAGAAATATCATTTGTCATGTTGTGCATCGTTTTTACAGGTCCCACCATGTCTGTGAGGCAAAGTGTTTGGACAGTTGCATAAGCTGTTAGTTACTAGCATTCCTCAACTTGATATACTACTGAGAATCAACCTTTCACACAAAAATTTGTTAGAGATCTCCTGGATGGGAAACCATGAACTGTGGGTACTGCCAGTTGCATGGGAATCACATGCATGCTAATTTGATAAAGTTAGGTTCCCTGGCATGGGCACCATGCATTTTCTTTTCTGATGATAGAGTGATCAATCCATACAAGACTAAGATATAATCCACATAAACTCCTACACATCTTAACAAAGTATACCTGGAAAACAGGGACTCCATCAAACCCACGCCCAGGATCTGTAGCTTTCAGCTAAAATTCAGGAAAGTGATCAGTAAGCCACAAGAATAAAAGAAAATGCACAATAAATAACTTGCATGAAGTAAGCAATACATGGCATGTGGTCAATTACTTCTGAGTACAGCTGATATATCTTTGTCCAAACTGAGGTAGGGAAAATATAGAGATTAGTGCTGCTTAACATCACTGTTAATATCAAACAGTGACATCCTTTTTTTAAGGGAAAATTCCCGATAGGTACCCTGTACTTTAGGCTGAGTGCCAATTTAGTACCCGAACTTTAAAATGCGACAATCTAGTACCCGAACTTTCATTTTGCGACAATCTAGTACCTGGCATTAACTCACCGTTAAGTGTCATGGGAAAAGGCACATATGCCCCTTAAATTTCATCTAATTTTTTACTGTTCATCATCTCTTTCGTTGAACACCGCAATTCCGTTCCAAATTCTTGACAGCAGCCGTCAGAGTTGCGTTCCTGTGGGAGGTAAAGTTGAATGCAGCGGGGCAACTCAACGAGGTAATCTGATGGAGCCAAATGCCACAAAAACAGAGAATGGCGTCGCATGTGGAGTTGGGCTGTGGAATGTTTATGTTATGATTGCAGCAAGCTCTGAAGTGAGTTGACGCACTTCTGGGAGTCATCCGGTACCATCAGACCGTCTGACAACATGGGCACAGCTGACAGTACCTGCAGTGCTGACCTAGCATGCACAGTGAAAAGCCAGGCGGCGAGCACCGGACAACAGTGGCTACGATCGAGGTTGCACCCGCATGCCTCACTGACGACAGGACCCCCCTACTTCCAGTTCGCCGGGGTCGCCACCTTATGCTTCGCTGCCTTCTGCAGGGAGTCCACCACCATCACTATCTCCTCAATGTTACGCCCAGTGCTGGCTGGGTATAAGAAGCTCAGCTTTACTTTCTTATCTCCGCCCACGATGTGCAGCACTCGGGATGGCACAGGGTTTCCTGTGGATTTGTGGGGTGTTTGATGGGCATGGAAAGAATGGCCACCAAATAAGCAAACTAGTCAGAAATCGGTTGTCGCCACTCGTACTAGATCGAAAGAATGCTCTCTCAGCGCTGAAAATGCCTGGACTGACGATCGGCAACACTGTTCCAAACCTGGAAGTCAAAACCACAAAAGAAAAATCCAAGCTTCACAACTACGTAGGAGATGGCTGGGCCATTATCTTCTCTCACCCAGGGGACTTCACTCCGGTATGCACGACGGAGTTGGGTAAGATAGCAGCCTACGAAGAGGAATTTAGCAAGCGAGGAGTGAAGCTATTGGGCCTCTCTTGCAATGACATTCAGTCCCACAACAACTAGATCAAGGACATTGAAGCCTACACTGTGAGCTACAACTTTTTTACTTTATAATAAAGAGAAGGGAGGGAAAAGCTTCAGAGACTAAAAGTCTCGCATTCTTCGAAGAACCGCAACGAGGCGAGGGAGTCTACGATGCCATTTAGACCAGGCGGAACGGTGGTGGAGGCGGAGCAAAGTGAGAGCGATCTCAGAGCCGTGGCGTCACACCGCTTCCTGTAAGGGGTTCCATCCAGAGGCATTCTGAAGGGAGACATCGGCATTGGCAGCAGCAAGGGTACGAGTGGCGAAAGAGTCATTGAGACGGACGACGAGGTGGAGAGGGGTTTCACAATGAGGAACGTCACGACGGTCGAGGATGGAAGAGATCTGGTCGGCTACTCTTTCTTGGGCAAGCGAGTCCAACTCGGTGTGAATTTGGAAGGGATCGGCCAGTGATGGAAGGGAAGAGAGGAGTCGGGAGAGGGTGGTATGGTCTCCAAGTGCAATGGCATAGTGGACGGGACTGTGCTTGTAGTCTTTTATTCTAATTGCCGACGACGAAGGCGACAATGTCGAACAGTGTATTTTAAAGTTATAGTCTCCATGATGAACAGTGTATTTTCTAAGGGTAATTTTGACATTTTCAAAATTTTTAAATCGCGCATGAGGTCATGTGATATACATAACTGACAGTCCATTAACGGTAGGTACTAGATTGTTGCAAAATGAAAGTTCGGGTACTAGATTGTCGCATTTTAAAGTTCGGGTACTAAATTGGCACTCTGCCTAAAGTACAAGGTACCTATCGGGAATTTTCCCTTTTTTTAATTCAGAGTTGCACCTTCTCTAACAATGAATTACCAGTAACATCCTGGAATAAGCAAGAAGAATGCATGCCAAATGATTTTTACAAATAAACAATACACAACATCTAATTTGTTAACTAGAAGAAGCATAGCTGAGATGTCTTTATAAAAGCTGTCGGGAAAATATCCAGTTAGAGCTGATCAATATTCAGGCTTCTCCAACACTGAATGCTTTATGTCTCCATGGCCATAATATATGCTATCTCAAATATGTACAGTATTAATACCAAACATTATCACTATTTTAGCTTTTTATCCAATTTATCCATACAAAGCATCAAAGAGATTTTCCAAGGATTGAACTACTATGGTACAAGCATCTTAAATCTAAAGCATGAAAATCATCTTGTCTTAGGAAAAAAATAAGAAAATAGAACAGCTCCATGCTCCCTGAAACATTAGTATGTATAATTTATTGTCTTGATGTCTTCATTAAGTTTTCTGAAGTTTTTCAGATTTTCTCCTGAAGGATCCAGAAAGCTCCAAAAGAAAAATATATGACGAAACAAGCATTTCCAACCTGCCTGGGAAAACCATATTCGATGACCAATATCTAAAAGCCAGATTGGAGATAGATCCATTCAATTAGATAAGCCATTCCGGTTCTGTTAAACATCAGGTCTAATCTGGTTGAACCAAATGACCATCAGCGATATTTTTTACCAGCAACAACAATCAAAGGAGGTAAGATCCCCCATGTTCTAAAGTGATTCAAATGCACGGAACAAAATACACAGCACCGCTGGGCATCCCCCACCCACACACTAAGCTAGTCCTTCCTGCCCCTTCCCTTGCAACTGAATAAGAAAGATTATTTGCCCATATAGAAATCCACCTGAATGGGATAATTAACCTAGAAGCCAAAGTCTGTGCTTCTCTAATGAGATGTTTTGAGGGGCCAGGAACCATCTAAATTTGCAGACATATATGTTGAAGATGATATTTCCTGAAGGCAAAAACCGTGCAAACACGCACGATTTTTGCTTTCAGGAGATCAGGGCTCTATATGCTGCATAGAGACTGGTGCAGTTTTAGAATCTGACAGGGTCGAAGGTGTCAGATTTGGCAAGCCTGAAAAAATAGAATCTGGGGCTTGGGTGCTATGTTTTAGTTTCAAGTTACATTTTTAACGATATATTCCTTATGTTATATAAATAGGAGCCGTTGATTGGTGCAATAGTAAAATCTTAGGCTGAAAACTGTGAGAAATCAGGTTCAAGAGTCAAGACTAAGAGGGGCCACCCTGTACAAAAAAATACCAAAGATTAGATTTGCATCCAGTCTACTCCAATTTTCAATGTGCCACTGATCCAAACAGTCAGACAATTCAACCCATCACTCAGTCATGATTTCAGTTCGGGTTAAGCCCTAACCCACCTTTACTCAAAAACCTGTTGACTTGGTTATACAGGCACCAAGGTTTAAAGTATCAATATGTATAGCATTGCATCGTGCATATCATATTGGTATCAAAGGTCACTGATACTCAAATTACTGAGAGTTTGTGGGCTTTGAATGTTTCAGATGTTAGAAGTCATCCTCAGTAGCCTTTCTGTCAATTGTCGTGCTGAAGAAATTATAAAATAATAATAAGTATCCACTGTTTGAAACACACAATATGCAATGTTTTTGCATCGTGCATGTCAATATTTTAAACCTTGACAGGCACCACTCCCTAGTCCCTACACCCAGAAAACTTACCAGTGATCTAATTATCTTAACATTGTCCAGAAACGTAGAAAACTTTTAACTAGAAGCCAAAAAAGAATGAGTACAGTACACCATTTACTAGAGAGCAGCAAGGTAGTAAACATATACACAAGATCTATGAACAAGAACAAAAACCAGATGCACATATAGATAGTCTCCCAATATAACAATAGTTAAGGAGTTTGCCAACCTCATAATCTATCTGAACTAATTATTCAACCTAGACACCAAGGCTATGGATCAATAATTCAAAGGGCTATTTATCTTTTACTCCAAAAATACATTCTCAGGTACTTTTTTTAACAATACAAATGAGAAATTAAAGGGAAAAAATGGAAAAAAAAAAAGTCTACTACATGCACAGGACTGCAGGTCTGACCTCAAGTGCATTTCTTATTTGAGCAGGATCAGGCAGAAAACGGAATGCAATTCCTTCAACCTTCAACATATAGACCTACGTATTGATGAAAAGGAACAAAACAATTAGAGGCACGTAACTAAGAGAACAATTTCAAAGTGCGCACATAAATCCAAGAAAACATGTGGATGGTTATAAAAGGATAACCATTTTAGACCCCCAAAAAAAATTAATAAAGGTTGCACAATACATCCGTTCCAACATTGTGAAGGCTCCGCAGGGCTTAGTTAGATGTTCTTACATTGCATGATCCAAATATCAAGAAGTGCAAAAGCAGCAGTCTTAAGGTCCATATGACCATATGGGGATGAAAGAAATAAGGATCTTCAACAATTAAGAGAAACCTCTAGAGTCTTTGAGATTTTTTTTTTCCTTTTCTGATTGGCATCTCTAGAGTCTACTAAAACTCACATCCCTGATGACTTTTTCAGAAATTGGCAAGCAGCAGCTGCCTCTTCAATTCAAAGAAATGTTATCCACTTGTAGCTGATGCCTCCATATGTAGGATTGGAATCCTGCCAATTGGGTATTCAAGGTAAATGAACTGCAATGGAGAAACTATCTTGCTCTACATGAGGCCAAAAAGGATTGGAAGTTAAATAACAGCAATAATTACTATCTGTACTGCAAGGATTAAAGCTGTGTTACTCTTTGAAGCCTGCCATATTGGAAGTGGAGGGGATTCTCCGGGGGTCAACAGGGTAGCTTAATGGAAGAGGAAGCTAAAACTCTAGCAAGCACACTGAATACCTCATTCGGTTAGATAAGAAGATCTGCTAATTCTTTAGTGGATTGACTGGATTCTCTTGCCATTGAAGGAGAAAATAGATGAGGCCAATTCTGAAGACTCATTTTGTACCTTAAAAGGTGAATTGAAGGTACCCTTTCATAAATCAGTTGCTTGAACAAAACCTTCCAATCTATTAATGATCAAAAAGATTATCTAAATGTGAACATAACTGGTAGCACTCTTCTATTGATGGCATCCAATCAATACAGATATTCAACTAAACTAGTGTAAGGACCATTTCCCACGGGACCATACTTTTTTTTTTTGATAAATCCCACGGGACCATACATGTCCACCCATCCAAAAGGCCAGTACAGTTAAACCTGAACAGCAAGGCTGATGTGGAACGGAAAGAACTAGAATTCAAGGTGTCAAAACCTTCTCATTTGGCTTGATTTTGGTACCACTAAAAAGGTTATTTAGTTACCTGTCTAACATGGCCGATATCAAGTGATTTGAACATAAAGAGTGAAAAATTAATTCTAATCCAATCAAATTTTCAAGGAACTTCTAGAAAGAGCTTTAATCTGAGATGTTCACCTAATCTATGAAAACGGTAGTAAAAATGTGAACCCAATCCAGATGGAATCCTATCTTTCCAAGAATCACATTGGAAGATTGGACTCACTTGTATTCCCCCAATACTAATTGGTGTTTTGCACTCATCATTAATTGTATGGACAATTAATGATGGGACTTATGGCCTTTCCATCCACTGTAAGGCCAATTTTGAGAAACAGTGAATCTGCTGATGAATGACAGCATAGAAGAATGCATGTAGATTGCCACTCGGTCTCCAAATTTAAGCTCAGGTTAGGAAGCATTTCCTGGATACCTTACTGCATTCCGTATAAAAACCAAGTTTCTCCTCCTCTTTACCAATCTATAATCTATGCTACCTGGGTATGGCAATGACAGGACGAGATACAGTATTGGATGCAAGTTACACCAAAAAATTGAAATATCCAACATGATATGGCACCCGCGTACAGGTAGTAGTCTATAATATGATAAAATCCGGTTTATCATCCACCTCGGGTCCTTGTAAAAACTAGAAAAAACTTCATCTAAGTTTCAATATTGCCAGTTTTATGCTTTTCTTCATTAGACAGTAAGAACCTCAAAAAGGCATCCATAGTGAAGCCCTGGCCCCTAAGTTTGTCTTTCAAGCATGTCTTAACAAGTTTTGGATAAATAATACCGACGAATAGAGGATGTATTTTTTGTGCATTGTAATACCAATACGCCCTATCAGAACTCTCTGTTTTCCATGCTACAAGAAGATGGGTTCCAACTAAATTACAATTTGTGCCAAATTTGCATGATATTAGTAATTTCACGAGCTTTCGGATTTAAACTAAATGCTCAGAGATAGAAGAAATTTCCCCGCATGCTAGGAAAATTCTCTCTTCAAGGAAGGTAAAGGGCACCTGATCGAGGGTGATGGGAACAACTCTAGCTCCCCGTCCTAAAACGGGTTGTCGCAATTGGACCTGGACACCACCAAGAACAGAAGGTGCATCAAATAAACATTTTAACTTCTAAACACAACCAAATTGAGATGGGGAAAATAGCAATAAAAACAAAAGTTAAAAACTAACTTGGGCGAGAAGTGCTTCGGCATCTTCTTGTCGAAAGCATAGCAGACCAAGGGACTTGACGCTATTGGGATCGGAGATGAGCACGAACTCGTTATTAGAGTTACTGACAGTATAGACGGAAGTCCCAGCGAGCGTTTTGGCGACGTATTCAGTACTGAGAGCGACATCGAAGGCGTGTTTGGGTTGCCAAGACTCCTGCGACACCGAAGCGAAGAGAGACGACGCGGAACGATCACGTCTCAGTGGAGGCCAGTTGGAGGCTACATTTCCGACGAACCGTTTACCTTCTTCGATTCGAGACGCTATTTCTGCGCCTAGTCGCATCCAATGCTGATGGATAAAAGAGGATACCGATAACAATGGATGAGGCGGTGCTGCTGAGGGCATTGGGAAGTCCATCGCCGAGAGAGGAAATGAAGCATTCGTCATGTGCCCCTTGATGTCTAGACCTGATTATATTTATATACTAAGAAAATAGCGATGCAACGATAAATCTCTTCTTTACTGGTTTTCAGAATTTCGTTTTGTTTGGATAATATCATATTATAATTCGATTCGATTTTTTGTTTATTTTAATTTATTATTTAGTACTATTTTATCATCCCGTCAATGGCGATTTATTTATTATTTACCTTTTTTTATTATAAATATAGAGAAGTTTTTTTTAAGAATTAAATATTTTTATTATTCAACTTCGTGTGGAGATATTCTCAATAGCAGTAGTGTTCCGTGGGTACATATATAAAAACATTTTGTGAGTAGCAGATCTGGAACTGAACATCCTCCAACGATTTAGCTTCTTGGACTAAGATGAGCAGCCCTAACGTACGGGTGTAAATCGGATCGTGTCACTCTTGGCCTAACATGAAGGATTGTGGGCCGTGCTAAGCACATCATTATTATATGGGTTGTGTAAGGCTTGGAGTTTTGGGTTTATGCATGGGCCGGCATGGTATGACATGATCGAATGTTATAGGGATAATAGCATATAAGGGCAACTTTTGGGTTTAATATCAATAAAAGTAATATTTAAAAAAAATAAAAAATAGGTTAATTTTTTTAAAAATAATATCAATAAAGAGCAAAAACACTGTTCATCATCTTCTTCTTGCCATTTGTTCACCAGTACCGTCGCCTACCACTGCCATCTATTGTCGCTCGCCACCTCCACCGCCTCTGCCTCCAACAATGTTACCGGAAGCAGAGGTGGCGGCGACAACGCTGGTGGTCATTCCTCTACCCAGCACCACCGCCACCTCTGTCTCCACCCACCTCCAACAACGTTGCCAGAGGCGGAGGTGGAGGTGGCGGCGTTGGGCAGAGAAATGACCACCAGTGCTGCCATCGCCACCCCCAGCAACGTTGCTGGAGGCAGCGGCGGGCGGCAACGGACGACGGTGGTGGGCGGCGGACGATAGTGCTAGTGAACAAATTGCAAGAAGAAGAAGATGAACAGTGTTTTTGCCCTTTATTGATATTATTTTTAAAAAGTTGACCTATTTTTTAATTTTTTAAAAATATTACTTTTATTGATATTAAACCCCAAAAATTGCCCTTATATGCTATTATGTTATATTATATATAATAACTATATAATATATCAATTTTATTATATTATTTTATTTTATTATTGCATTATAAACAATTGTATATAATAAATTTCATGTAAAATGAAATTTTAAGATCTTTTTTAATTTTTTGTCTATTTTTTAAATTTATATTGAAAATTTTCTTATTTTTTTAATTTTTTAAAAAACATGACTTTGCCCTATCTATAGCCCAGCCTGACCCAAAGCTCAGCTCGTGAACCAACTAAAAGTTGTTGGTTATCCGAAGGCCCAAGCCCATATCATTGTAAAATGCTAATTTGGGCCACCTAGACGGCTCTCATAGTTAATCCCCTTGTAATTTGTAGTTATGGTCAACAAAGGTGGCCAAGTGTTTAAAAGTCTCAAGTGAGAGATGAAAACAAATCTGAGAGAAGCGAGAGGGAAAATAGTTCTGAAGTGCATTGAGAACCAAAGTCTTAAATGTTTTAGAAGACAACCCGAAAGATTGAAAATTATAAATGATGGAGATATCTTCTATTTGGCCCGAGATTCTAAAGTTTTGTCACTATTTAACATTACTTAAGAGTTTTAAATCTATAATAAGAAAAAAAAATGGTGTACTCGCATGTAAAAAATTATTACCATTAATTAGCTCAGCCTACTAAATTTATTTATCAGTCTCAATATTAACAATGAATTCATTCCCATGAATGTACGTGTAGTTCCACCATGTGATAGAACAAGGGAAAATAGAATATAATGGTTTGGGGATATTTTGGCTGTACTGGGATAGGTTTCAATCAGTGCAAGGCTCATTTGAATATCGTTGGAACAGTCTTTACAGTCTTATACTGGGAATATCTCCTTACCTATATACTTTATTTCATGGGGAGACATCCCCAATGCAAGGCGATAAAGGCTGTTCAAACTGGCCTTGTATTGATTGAAACCCAATTCATTTGAAAAAAAGTATATTGGAGTCTATATACAATAAGTGTTAGCATGGGTGAACAGTAAAAGAATAATCGTGTTCAACACTTCATAAAAAATGACAATAAGGCTATGTTTGATTTGAAGGAAAAGGTAGGGAAAGATATGAAAACATATACAAAGTTTGTAAAAGTTTCTTTGCCTTTCCCTACTTTTTTCCAAACATAGCCTAAACGAACTGAACTGAGGAGTGTATCATTAGGGATGACCCTATCCCTTTAAAAAAAAAAAAAACAGATTTTGGGGTTGAGGATGGGCTTTGGGATTTCAGAAGCCATTAGCATACATATTAGATTACACCTGATTGTCCCCAACCTTCATATTATTGTAAGGTATGAATTTTTGTAATAGATGTTGAATGTAATAATATTTTGAATTTTATGTGATGAATATATATATATACATGTTTGACCAAATAATTGAAAATTTTGATATTAGTCCATGCTATTTTACTTATTACTTATATATAACATGAAATGAGATGCAGGTTCTAGATCTAATCCGCCAATCTCATCTATATCACCCTAAGATACAGGGTAAGGTTGGGGAGTGTTTTGCATTTTCATGCATGGAGAGATTTGAGTTATGAAAAATTGAAAATCCAACCCATTATGGGTTTTAGAGATAATATGTATTGGGAGGTCTATGAAGACAGGTAATGTTTAGAATTTACAAAACCTTCCCCATACCCACCTCGTTGCCATCCCTATATTGAAAAATCAGCATGAGCTATTTTTCCAAACAGCAAAAGCTTTTCCAATGGTTTGGTCGTATAAATAAAAGTATAAAACCATTCACAACGTCCATAAGGGCTGGTCAAGTACCAGTTAAGGGTCTTGAAGGGTAAAAGGTAGATCAAAAGAACAAAAGAAAAAGAAAGAGAGACATGAGTTCAGCCGGTAATAAATGATTTATCCATGTCTCGGTTGTTCAGAATGACAGTTGACACCCCTCCAAACCGGAGGTGCACCTTCAAAGTTCAAACCTTCACAGTTGTAGGCTTTCCGTGGTATGGCCAACGGGCTTCATTTGCATGTGCTAAAAACCTCTTATGTGTTTTGCCACGTGGCAAAAAACTCCATCAAGGTTCAAGCCACCATGACATTTACACCTCTTATGTAATAATTTGCAAACGGTCGCCGGAAGATTACAATGATAATTTTGAAGTTCCATTAGTTGCAGCGTGGTGTTGCAATTGACGATGGCTGAGGTATCTCGATAGGTGTCTCACATATCTGATCGATGATGAAGGAACTCTCTCTGGTTTGTTCGGCGAAGGGAGGCTCCACTCACCGATATGGTAAATGCCGCAGATCTCCATTGGCAATCGAGACCATTCAGTTAACTATATATGTTTCTTTCTCTACTTCTTGCTTACTTCAAAGTTCAGTTTTACACCGATGAAAAAGTTCATGCTGGTTCGGTGATCGATGGAAAATAGAAGCGGGTGAATTTTTCGTGAGGAACCTCAATCTCAATGTTCTCGCAACTGCACCTTGCTCCATCGGACTTATTATATATTGATCATGGTCTCTTTGCTGCCTCTACCACCGCCATGTCACTGGAACAACTCTCACTTCGTGTGGCTGTCATCTTCTTGGGTGATGCAGACGACCGAAGAGCATTGCTACATGCTTCTCGGATGGTGGAAGGTCCGACCACAGCTGCCCTCCTCGTCACACAATTGATCCTCTCCGACTCTTCGTCAGGTTTTCCTATAGAAGCCCAGGTGACGGTATACTACACATGTTAATTGGAAGATTTACAGTATATTTTTGGAGGCCGGGGCCCTTTATCCATCCTATGTTTTAGTGCTACATTAACCTCTTAACATTTGTAGCTCAGTTACTAGACACAGACTACCATTTCATGAGTCATTTCCAAACTATCTCCTACACAAATGCAGCAGTAAGTATCAAACAAGGAAATTTCACAAAACATCTCAGTCCTCATTGCTGCGCGATCCCACTTCAAGCACGATCCCACTTCAAGCAAAGAGAGAACAACAACAAGCCCAAGAACAGGTGGAAGTGGAGGTCTGTTGAAGGCGACAATGGGCTCTGCCTCCGCCTTGTCATCTGTCATAGGTCCTTCTCCCTCCCCAACATCATCGTTTGATTGCTTGTTAGGGGACGAAGTTGCCATTATCCCTGGTTTTTGCACATGCAGCTCCGAGTTAAACTAGTACTTACCACTAAGCAAAAGGGGGTCTATCTAAAGAGCAGAACAAGCATTACCACATCACCCACCCTAGTCTCCTTCACCAGAAATCATGGCCGACTTCTTTCCATCGCTTTTGTCGTCGTGCTTTTCATCCTGCTAGTTGCACCCTTGGCTATCCTGTTGTACTCTGCATTTTAGAACAGGAGATTGAAGTCAATATCCAAAGATCTTTAACATCAGATTAAAGAGTCATTGTTGGTTCATGGAACCACACCAGTGACACAGCAGCAGAAGCCACAGGCGAATATGGGGGAGGTGGAGGTGAGGTCATCACACCCTGTGATCGGAGAAGAACACACGATCCTATAAGCGATCAAGAGTTGACCGGTTGCAGAGTTTTACACTGAAGATGGAGATTTACGTCAATTTTATAGGTGGCAACTTTCCACCGATTCTTGATGTAAAACTCATCCTAAGTGGAGTTTTATGCTAATTTACATTATAAAACAACACCTAAAACAAACATAGTGAAATTTGAGCTGAAATGTAAAGTTTACCCCGATTCTCATTTACACCCAAAACAAACGCAACCTTTAAGAAATAATTTGCTTAAAGAGTCAAACTTAAAGAGTCAAACTTTAGCATTGTGAGACTAACAGCTATAACAAACAATATTAGCAACATTTTGAAGTCCAACCATATAATGGGTAAAAAGTCAAACATAAATAAAAACGTAGATTTTCTTTTGC